ACAGTGAAAAGTAACATAATATGTTAGTCTCATTCATGAGAGATCTAATACAGCTATTAAAATCATATCCTCAACTCAATTGTTTTATTTTTATTTAGGTTTTTCTTGGGATTTTTACAGCAGAAATGATTTTTAAAATAATCGCCATGCATCCATATGGGTATTTCCAAGTAGGCTGGAACATTTTTGATAGCATAATTGTTCTGCTTGGTTTAGTAGAACTTTATCTAGCACATTTTGAAGGAATGGCCTTTTTTCGACAATTCAGGACAGTAAGTAGAATTTATTAATTTTTATTTCATCAAAGCTTATCTGAGTTTCCAAAGACATAAATGAAATGATAGTAATACTGTTCTTTTTGAAAATTGAGAGTATTAAAGGAATTAATTCATATATAAAGAGATTAATGCCCCCAAGCAAGAGTAAGCAGATTCCAATGCTGTTATTTGACAAAAGCCTTAAAAGAAATAGGGCAATCAAGCATGCTGGAAAAAGAAATGTTATACATTGTAAAGGTAGATGTGATTAAATGTAATATAAAAAAAAGAAAAAAGAAATAGGGCCATCTGTGCAGTAAATTTGAGATGTAGTTCTAGAAAGCAGTGCATGGGTAGCTGCATATATTTAAGATAATGAAGTGACCCAGGAGTGAAAATCCACATGTGAATAAAAAACTGGAATCAAATGATTATGTATAAGTATAGAGTGGAAAACCTTCTAAAGGAGAAGCAGACAGGCCAGAACAGTGTTCTTTAGAAAATCACTAGTCAAGTCAGAACCAGTACATGTGTGTCTACAATGTGAGATGGTAGTGAAAATCAAAAAAACTAGGCAAAAATAATGTTATTCTAATGTTCTTATGGAAATGATAAGCATTTGATAGACAATATTTTATAACATTCTGATTACAGGTTGATGGAATATAGCAATAATTGAAAAAAAATGACAAAGATTGTATTGTATCCAAATGATTACTTTGTAGAGGGTAACTTCTTCAGAACCCTTTCTTAAATTCTCATCCATAAAGATTCCCAACGAGTAAGAGGAATATACATAAAAGGTAGAAATCAAATTTGTGAGTGAAACAAGTTTGGTAAATGCACAAAATGAGCTAAATAAGTGTCAAAATATCTTAAAGGCTAGTAATGGGCTGAATCCAAGATTATTACATTTTACCTGGTTAATTACAGTCTTACTCTTGAGTCCAGAAAACCAACTGCATACTAGAAAAAGCTGAGAAGGAATTTAATACATGTAAAGGTAATGTATAAGTTTTAGAAGATTATAAGTTCACTGTGATACAGTGACCAAAAATGTCAAGGTGATCTTGTGCTATATAACCAGAAATTAAAAATCTAGTAAAAAGAAGGGAAATATTCAGACTAAACCTAGAGTGTTATGTTTGATCTTTGACGTTTTACTTTAAGACAGAAATACGCAGTAGGACATTCAGTGGAATTTAGCTGATCCTGACAGATCATTTTTAAGTGTCACCTGTATGTCCAAATGTGGACAAACATTGAATGTATTGTAAAAAGCAAAAACCAAGACTAGATAATTGCTGAACCAGATATTAAGCACAGAGCTAGAATAATTATAATAGTATACACTTTAATGAGAATTTACAAATACATCAATACCAGATATGTATATTTAGTGCATAAAACAATAGAATATGAAGATGTAGTAAAATTGTACATAAAATAAATATTCAGTGATTAGTAATAATAAAGCTTAAAACTGAATATTACTTTAAAGCAATGTTTGTGGATATGTAAAATGCTGGTAGAAACTTCAAATATACATTGTAATAACGAGTGATCAGATTTTCTTGTTTTGTTTTGTTTTCATTGTTTACCTTGCTCTATTAGTTGCGGATTTTCAAGTTGGGCAAATATTGGCCAACGTTTCAGATGATGATGCAGATCCTCAGTAGCTCACTGGTGGCCTTGAAAGATTTGATTCTGCTGTTGTTCATATTCATCTTCTTTTCTGCTGTATTTGGCTTGAGGCTGTTTGGTTGGAGTTACCAAGCATGTGTCTGCCGCATAGACAAAGACTGTGTGCTCCCACACTGGCACATGTCTGACTTCTTACACTCCTACCTGAATGTGTTCCGGATTCTGTGTGGAGAGTGGATAGAGACGCTGTGGGACTGCATGGAGGTAGCAGGCCAGTTCGGCTGCTTTTCATTTTACGTGATGGTCATTTTAATTGGAAATTTATTAGTAAGTAGCTTATCATTTTTTTTTCCTTTTTCTTGCAAAACTGGTATAATATAGTCTGGTATTTTTATAATGTGGATTGACAGGATCCAATGATCTACAGTGGAGTTGTCCAATATGGTCACCACAAACAATATTGGTTGTGGTATTAGCTGAAATATGTTCTATGAGTATAAAATACACACTAGATTTGAAATTTCACCAACAAATGAATGTAAATGATTTCTTTAGTAATTTTATCTTGGGCTAGCCCATGGTGTGGTACCAGCCAGATCCCACATGGCTGACCACATGATTTGAGTCCCAAGCAAGGTGGGTGCCTATGCATGTGTGCCCAAGGTTCAGAGGAAGGGAGAAATGGAGGAGAAGGAATTAAGGCATGACCATTCTCTATGATAAGTGCTTTGTTGCCTTTCCTCTGTCTTTCTTTGTCTCTCTTTGGTGAGCACACACACTTTCTGGCAAATTTAAAAACGAATTATAATAAAAAAATTATTTTAAATATTTTAAAATAATAACATTTCCATTTACTTCAATAAATCTAGAAGACATGTAAGTACAAGTAATTTCATCTATTTTTCTTTATACCTTAATGTGACTACTGGAAAATTTTAAATTGTATTTGCGACTTACATATTTCTATTGGATAGCACTAATTTATGACCTTGTGACTCAATAACATTGGCATCTTATGGAAATAGGTATCAATATAGATGCTCAGATCCCATTTCTGACCTACTGAAGCATATTCTGCATTGTAACAATATCCTCAGGTGATTTGTGTTCACATTAAATTTTAAGAAGCACTTAAATGTAATACTGGTTGTCAAACTTGCCTGCACATTAGAATTACCTGGGGAATTAACAAAAATATACTGATGTCTTAAATCCATTTCCAGATATTCTAATTTCACTCTTATGTGAACATAACCTGGTCATTGGGATTTAAAAAAAAAAAATCCTGAGCTGATTAAATTGTGCAGCGAAGTCTGAAAACCACTGATCAATAAAACTACTATGCATTAAGAGAGAAAGCTTTCACTTTAAAATTTCTTAAGAATTGAAGTAGATTTACATGAATGGAAGAAGCAGCTGTTTCTATTTCTAAGAAAAAGGTGTAGTTTATAAAGAAAAATGGTTCTTACAGAAAAAAAGACTGGATATTTGCTTTTTACTCATATGTCATAAAGATCAAATATACTTCTTAAAAGAAAGAACATAATTACAATGAGATTCAATGTTATCTGTACCCTTCTTGTTTCTAATTACTTTGGAAATAGCCCTGAAATAACCTCTCACAATGACATTATGTTTAATTGTTGATGTTTTGTCTCTTTTTTATTAAACTATAAGCTCCAGAAGAGAAAGGGCCATGACTATTCTCAGTATTATCAAAGCTCACAACAGTGCCCAACATGTCAAAGCAGTGTATACCCTCTACCTTTTGTAGGTATTAATACACTTTGTTTTTAAAAGAGATTTTTGCTAATGGGCACATGTGCTTGCTGGAGAGACAGATAGCCAGAAGGTGAGAAGGCACTCTGTGGGGAAAATGACCACACAAGTCCCTTCTCCGTTCCCCTCTTGTGATGTTGGGCACGCACATACATGCACCCAGTGTGTTTCCAGTGGGTTGGGGACTCAAACTGTGGTCTACCATGTGGGAGCCCAGCACCTTAACCACAACCCCACCACTAGCCATGGCTATTGGTACACTTTCAACTACCAGTGATATGAAACAGTGCCGTACTGGGCTGAAACCAAAATAAGCATATATATCTGCAAATAGAATCCCAAATTTCAGAGCCAGAGCTCTCTTTAGTTGTGGCATGGCACCAATGCTCAGATGAGATAACTGGAAACAGCTCTGTGTGTATCTCGGTTCTGTCTTCTCTATGTTCCTTGCTGGCTGATCTCTGTGATCGAGATAGCCAATCCTGCGATAGCCTCACATCTTCACGTCACATCAACTCTAACAGAAAGGTCTATTTTTTCCCTAGAAGCCTCTCCCCAGCAGACTTTTCCTACTATCTCACTAGCTCTGAGTCACTTGCCCATTTTGAACTAATCTCCATTGCCCAGGGAGTGGAATACATTTATTATGGTATGTCAGTCACAGTCATCCTTTGCAGCTGGAAATGACATCATTCTAAACCCACACCATATGACTATTATGGGACAAGGGTAATTTCCCAAATGAATTATAAGCTTCTGTCTCCAAAAGAAAGGGTAATGGCTGTTGAGGAAAGTAGCAACAGCAACACATCCACACACAGTTCAAAAGCAGAGACTCAGAAATGGAGAGACAATTTGATACATTGTATATTTATGTGTTTTATGTATGCTTATATATATTTATTTTATATTTTATATTTTATATGTAGTGTGGGTGTGCATGCATGTGTGTGTATTTACTTCAGCATGTCTGCTTCTTGCTTTTGAACTCAGTACTTTACATCTTCTTATTCCTATTAATCAGAAACCAGAAACTTCAAGTCAATGTGCAGGGAGTTTTCAGGATAAAATGGAGCTACGTGAACCTTCATTATCAGTTAATTGGTCATCATACTTCTTGGTCCACCAAAACCTTTACTCCTTTAGCTTTACTTTCCTGAACAATTATCAAGCTATAAGGCATTATGATAACACTAAATAAAGTAATACAGGGAGAAAAAAATACAAGGAGAAAATTTATGACATTATTGATTATCTTACACTCCAAATTTCTAACATATGTCTGTAAGAAAAGAGGGTATTCCACATTTGGACAAAATGTAATTTTGTATTGTCCTGCTAATAAAATTCCAACAATGATTCTGAACCTTAAATGGAAAACTTTTTCTTTTTGAAGAGGTTTTTTGCTATGGGGAGCAGGCACTTGACAGAAAGACAGAGAAAGGTAGAGAGACAGAAAGCGAGAAATCACCCCCCAACGGGAATGGCCATGCCACAGTCCTTTCTCCTCTATTCTCTTCTTGGGATCTTGGGCATGCATGCACATGCGCCAGGCGTGATTTTAAGCCATTGGGTCCGGGACTCGAACCGTGGTTGACTATGTGGGAGTCCAGTGATATAGCCATTATGCCAATTGCTGATCCCACCTTAAATGGAAAACTTTTTAAAAATTGATATGCAAAAGCAAGTACTTAACGTGGCTTTTAAATAGTTCTGTCACGCAGAGTTGTAGAAAAAGTACAGAGTTCAGGTTCTAACAAATTACAATTCAAATTCTAGTTCAGTCGCTTACTAATTAAACTCTGCTGTTACACAGCCTCTTTATTCCCAGCTAGATCTACCAGGAGAATGAACATAATAATGCATGACCCATAGGGTTACTATAAGTTCAATAAAATATTCTAGCATCCTATAAATAGTTCATACATGTTTGTGTTAATTTTTTCTTCTTAGAAAAAGTTCAGCCCCACATCTGCATGGTCTGTTAGTTAAATATTATTTAGATGTTTCAGTTAGGTAAGCCTGATAGCCACTCTTTCTGTCCAGATGTTTTACTTGTAATTTAGGTAGTTGCCACCATGTGAATTGCAGCAATTGATTATGGATATATAAAATCAAACAGTGAGGGATACATAATGAAGTGAAATAGAAAATGATAATTTTTTTAAATAAAAAATTTGAAGGTGCTAGCAGGTAGTATAATGGTTGAGGCACTGGACTCCCACTTGGCTGACTGTGGTTCAAGTCCCAGACCTGACAGCTTGCTTTCTTACTTTCTATCTCTCTGTCTTGTGAGTGCATGTGCCCTACTACAAAATTTAAAATAATAATGATATTAAATAAAATTAAATAAATGATTAAAAAATATTGAAGGTACTAGCAGGTGGCACAGTGGTTAAGGAGCTAGATTTCCACATGATCGACTGCAGTTTGAATCCTGGATCCAGCAGCTTGGAAATCACGCCTGGAATGTGTGCATGTGTGCCCAAAATCTCAAGAAGAGTCTGGAGGAGAAGGGATAGCCATGTAGCCATCTCACCTGGAGAGTGATTTGTCACTTTCCCTCTCTTTGTCTTTCTTTGGCGAATGCATGTGCCCTATGGCAAAAACCTAAAAAAAAAGTTGAATAAAGTTGATCTCGCTCTCTCTCTCTTTGTATATATAGAGTAAACCCATACACATTTTTATTCTCAAATTTATTATATGTAAAATATGTATTTTATATATATTTATATATATATATAAAGGGAGCAGAGCTGGAACAGTGGTAGCACAATGGACCTACATGGGAACAGGCCTCAGTGTATGTGTGGGGCCCTCCCTGAGCATGTGGGCATGCACACACCCTGAAATCCATGCCAGCTAGGATGGGTGGAGGACTGCAGTGTGAGGACCATACAGGGAGTATCTGCCTCCCTCTCTCTTACATGGAATGAATAAATGAACAAATACATAAATTGAATTTTCTTTCTCTTTTATACCTTTTGATGTTTTTAATGCCTTTTTTTTAGTTATACTACTTGATTTTGATATGAGCTGCTCAACTCACATTGGAGGAGGTAGAGAGCAAGTTTCAGAGAAAATCCTTCCGTAGTATCATTTTGTATGCATTATTTTACCCTATTTTCTTAACCTCAAAACAAGTAATACGTGTTTTGAATCTGTTATAACATTGTGACTAGAGGAAACTTACTTTAAATTCATATCATATAATTCCTGTTTTTCCCTTTTTCTTCTTAATGCTCGAATTAGAAGAGATAATACATTCTCTATAGTTTTGTTCATTTACATAGCCTAGATTTTCTTTCTTAATCCTTTAATAGACTAAGGTATTTTAAATTCTGAATATATCTAAACAGAACAGTATTGTAAAATTCTATGTAAAATTCTGAGATTTATACTGCAGTTAGAGAGTGCTTTGAACTTTTGCAATTATCTTTATATTCAGCCCTTTAACATTCTATGGTGTGTGTGTATATGTGTAAGAAATAAGAAATCTCTTGTCATAATCTCTTAAAAACAGGACCAGCAGATAGCATGGTGGTTAAGGTGCTGGACTCTGTATGACCAACCATGGTTCAAATCCTGGACCTGGCAGCTTGAAAATACTGCCAGGTGCATGTGCATAAGTGCCCAAACTCCTTAGAGAAGGATGAAGGAGAGATTGTGGCATGGCTATCCCTCCTAGGGGTTGCTTTCTCACTTTTCCTCTCCATTTCTTTCTTTCTGTGGTAAGCGCACATGTTTTACAGCCAATAAATAAATAAATAAATAAATAAATAAATAAAATTATATATATATATATATACACACACAATGTATACACACACACATATAATTGGCATAATTTTCCTAGTATATTTTTTATTTATGTAATAATTAATTTATTAATGTTGTAAATAAATATTACTTTGTATATATCATTGTGCTGATGGTCTAAGAGATCATGGATTCTTTTTTTTTTTGGAGAGGTTTTTGCTATAGGGCGTGTGTGCTCGCCAGAAAGACAGAGAGAGACAGAGAGATAGAAAGCGAAAAATCACCCTCCAAGGGAGATGGGCACGCCGCAATCCCTTCTCCTCCATTCTCCTCTTGGGATCTTGGGCAAGCACGCACACGTGCCCAGTGTGAGTTCAAGCCACAGGGTCTGGGACTTGAACCACAGTCAACTACCTGGGAGTCCAGTGACACAACCATTTCACTAATTGCTCGTCCCAAAAGATCATGGATTCTAAAAGAAAAAAAGCATAGATACTAATATAAAGCTTACAGTCATGACATTCTTACCTAAAAACCTTTCCTTATTTTAACTATGCTTAAAGTTTAGCCAAACAAAAGAGAAAAAAAGTAACCACTAAATCTTGCAAATTGTATTTGGTCTTACTCTTTTATATTAAGGAACTGTTGTCCTCTAACAATAATATATAATTGATACTAATACTGTGGTTCTTATGGGGGCAATGAAGTCCCTGTCCAGATTTTATGTAAGTAGGTCTCATTGTTAATTGAGACACTAGTGGGCAAACAGTCGTCCTAATCCATGAAGTTATTGACATTTGCTCATTGTCCTTTTGGTTTTTATTCTTCTCCTTTGAGATTCTATCACCATAGAGTATATGAAATACCTATCAGTGCTCAGTTAATCTTATCTATAAGAAATTGCTAATACTGAGCCATTTTGCCCAAATTTTATTATGCCAAAACTATGAACATTATCTGTTTGATAAGTTTATTATCTACATTAATACTTTGATTTTTTATGTGAGTTTTCTTTGAACTTTCTCTATTCTTAAGAGATGTGAAGAGCCAGGTAGTGAGAAGTAAAAAAAGTAAAATATTAGGATTGAACAGTACTTGATAGGAGTTTATTATACTTCAGAGATGTATGTAATAGAGTAAGTTTGACAACTTCATCTCCTTAAACAGATCCATAATTCTGAAAGAAGTTTTAAAATATGAGTGTTTAGGGCCCAGCAGGTGGCATAGTGGTTAAGGGAGCTGGATTCCCACATGGTCAACCATGATTTGAGTCCCAGACCTGGCAAATTGCTTTCTCACTTTTCCTCTCTCACTCTGTCCCTCTCTGGTCAAATTAAAATAAATAAATAAAGTTAAATAAAATATGATTTTTAAAAAATGAGTGTTTAGAGATCTTTACATACTTATTTTATGAACACATTAATAGTCAATATAATGATTTTTAAATAGAGATCTCATATGAGTTTAATATTAACCCAGGCATGAAAATGTCATATTTATGTGTATGTATATATAAATATAATGTTTTGTATATTTTTATAAGGAAGAGATGTTTAAGTATGGTCTTAACTATAATGTGTACGATTTGAACTTTTTCTCTTTAGAAAAATATGTGAAGCATAAGTAAGTTAAATCTTTAAAAGCTCATATATATGAGAAAAGGGAAGAATGCTTCCAAAAATTGAAGAAATGCTCAATCATTAAGTAAGAGATTATTCAGTGTGGATCTGCAACAATAGAATCCAAAAACATAATGTATACTCTGCAATAACAATCAAGATTAAATTTTGATTCTCTGATCATATCTCTTAGTGATAGTAAAGGTCAAAATATACACTATCCATTGGGTTCAAAATAACTTCCAACTTTTGGAAATGATTCTTCCATTATTTATCCATTTTGGGCTTAGCTAAATTTATAAAACTGAAAATCAACAACCATGAATATGGCCTTGAGGACCCCCTCCCCCACATGTTCTTCCTCTTGGGGGATCATTGTTTGGCTGCCTGGCAGAAAGTTGCAGTGAGATCAGGCTCTTGGAGAAGTGATTGTTTTATCTTGGGAGAGGCAGCCAGGCTCAGTGAGAAAATTAGTTTTGGAATAAAACAGACTTGAGTCTATCTAATCTGTGTAATCTTTGCAATTTGATGTCTGTCAGCATTGCTTCTTTCATCTGTAACAGAGGAGCAACTCATATTTCACAGAATCATATGATCTCAAGGAGGGCTCTGGCTTTACAAACTAGGTATTTCCTCAGTGGACATGTAGAAGAGTAAGAATTGAATAGTATTGAATTCACATACTGAGCTTCAAATCTCAGGTTACCTTTTTGAAAGTATTTTTAATACAAAACAAAAAATGAGATACATTTAACTTCATTTTATTCCCCATTTAGATACTCTACCTGTTTCTGGCATTGATAAGCTCCTTTAGTTCATACCAGGCTTCAACAACTAAAGAGAACAATGAAGCCAAAAATCTCCAGCTTGCAATAGCAAGGATCAAGAAGGGGATCGACTATGCTCTTCTGAAAATGCTATGTAAAAAACGAAAAGTTGCAAAAGAGGCAATGGACCATATAAATAATACATACGTTAAAGAGAATACTTCCGACCATACTCTTTCTGAATTGAGCAACACCCAAGATTTCCTCAAGGATAAGGAAAAAAGCAGTGGTACGGAGAAAAACACGACTGAAAATGAAAGTCAATCACTTATCCCTAGTCCTAGTGTCTCAGAAACTGTACCAATTGCTTCAGGAGAATCTGATATAGAGAACCTGGATAATAAGGAGATTCAGAGTAAATCAGGTGATGGAGGCAGCAAAGAGGTAAGATGTTTTAATTCCTGATTGTGCATCATTGAGAAGGAGTTAAATCAGTGTTGGAGTTCCAGAGTCAGCTTACGGATTTAATCTGGTTACACCATTCTTAGCTCCTCATTTTAGGCTACCGATTAACTTACTTAAACTGTCTAAGCTTCAGATTCCTCATCTGTAAATCACAATAAAATTGTACTTACCACTTTTAAGGATAGATGTTAAGAAATATGTAATAGTTCCATAGTACATAGAGCAATGTCTAGTACATAGTAAATACTTAGGAAACATTAGATGATGTACTTATTATATAAATTATTAAGTAGACAGAGTGAGGTAATGAAAGGCATATTCAAGAAAACTAATTATTTAAAGTCAGTATAATTGGAGAAATTACTGAACTTTTCTGGGCTTTATCATCTTTGAGATAAAATATTGGATTAAATTCTTGCTTTTTAAAATTCTAAGATTCTAATCACTTCATTTCTGCAACATATATCTTTATTTCTGCTATATATAACATTTATAACTGAGTTGTAATAAAATAAATAAGAAAAACCACTAATTTGAATTATAAACAATTGATTGCTCTATAACCCCCTGGATTTTTTTATTTAGTGATTTTTTTGAGAGGTTTTTGCTATAGGGCACATGTGCTTTCCAGAAAGACAGAGAGAGACAGAGGGACAGAAAGGGAGAAATCACCCCCCAGGGGGGATGGCCATGCCACAATCCCTTCTCCTCCATGCTCCTCTTGGGATCTTGGCACACATACCACGCGCCCGGCATGAATTTAAACCACCTGGTCCAGGACTCAAATTGCGGTCGACTACATGGGAGTCCAGGGACATAGCCATTATGCCAAATGCTGGTCCCCAATTTTTTATTCTTAAAATATTTTCTTCTTATTTATTCACATTTCATCTCTCTACATCTTTGCAGCACACAAAAGAAATCTTCCCAGCGTGCATACGCTGCATATTAGTCCAGTCAGATATATTACCATACACATAATCCTTAACACATAATTCTATACTTTAATATCTGTTAAGTATTTTTTTCTTTTTTTCCTGATTCTTTTCATCCTATCCCCCACTGCCCACTCTCCTCACACCCTGTCTCTAGTATCTACAGTTGCTCTCCATGCATTTATATCTTTCAATCTTTTGATTTAAAAATAATTTTAAAAAGCATCAACTTATGGGCTAGCCCAATAATCTAGTAGTAAGGGAAGCAGACCCCATTTGGCTGATAGTTCATGAGTTTCTGCCCCAGTAGCTTAAAAACATGCAAAAAGCATGAGCATGCATGACTCAGATCTGACAGGATGGACAAATGCACGAGAAGGAATTGCAGCATGGCCATTCTCTATTGGGGGATGTTCTAGCCCTCTCTTTCTTTTCTCACTCTTAGACAAGTGCACATGCCCCCTGATGATTAAAAAAACAACCAACCTTTGGGGGACCAGCAGTTAGCGTAATGGCTATGTCGCTGGACTCCCATGTAGTCGACTGTGGTTCGCGTCCCGGACCCGGTGGCTTTAAACTCCCGCCAGGCGCATGTCCGTGTGTGCCTAGCTTAAAAACATGCAAAAAGCATGAGCATGCATGACTCAGATCTGACAGGATGGACAAATGCACGAGAAGGAATTGCAGCATGGCCATTCTCTATTGGGGGATGTTCTAGCCCTCTCTTTCTTTTCTCACTCTTAGACAAGTGCACATGCCCCCTGATGATTAAAAAAACAACCAACCTTTGGGGGACCAGCAGTTAGCGTAATGGCTATGTCGCTGGACTCCCATGTAGTCGACTGTGGTTCGCGTCCCGGACCCGGTGGCTTAAAACTCACGCCAGGCGCATGTGCGTGTGTGCCCAAGATCCCAAGAGGAGAATGGAGGAGAAGGGGTTGCAGTGTGGCCATCTCCCCTGGGGGGTGATTTCTCGCTTTCTGTCTTTCTGTCTCTCTCTTGTCTGTCTGGTGAGTGCACACGCCCTATAGCAAAAACCTCTCCAAAAAAAAAAAAAACCAACCTTTGATTTATGCAGTATGTATGCATTTTAATACCAAACATGAAATTGGCCTAAAGTATTTTAAACTTGTTAAGAATCTTTCTGTATGTAATTTTTCTTAATTCTCAAAATGAAATGAACTACAGTGAGTAATAAACTTTAATCATAGCTTTTTTGATGGTTATTTCCTTTTTTAGAAAATAAAGCAATCTAGCTCATCTGAATGCAGTACAGTTGATATTGTTATCTCTGAAGAAGACATGGTCTATGAACACGAACAGCAGTGTCTTAAAAACAGTAAGAAGAAAGTTTTGTTTTGTTTTAGAAGAAAGTATTTTTTTTTTTGCCATTTTACTAAAATTGAACCAGGTTACTCTTAATATAGGTAATATTACTGGGTACACCTTAAATTTGTAAGGAGTTTATTAATTTGGCTAAGGGATGCACACAGGAAAGTGTGTACACAAGTGTCCCAATCTACATTCTGATAGACATTTATAATCAATGTGCAGAAAGATGTCAACGTCGGGAAATGAGTGAATGGTCTTATTTGCTAGAGTCCGACGCCATGGTTATAAAGGCTGACTCTCGAATCAGGCAGCCTTAGTTCACATTCCAGTCTATCATTTATGCATCTCTCTCCAATTCATTGTTCTAATCTGTAAAAGGTATGTGTTTGTGTACGTGTGTGTGTGTGTAAATAACCTTAGGAGAGAAAGAATACCTGTCACCTTCTCCAAAAAAGCAGCACCCAGTAACCTTATCATCATCATACTCCACTAAATCTGTTTACAGAGATGTTGATTTATGATATAGTTAATGCAGATGACAACCATGAGCATCGTTGTGTAAGTGAAATATTATTGATAAAGTGGATTTGAAGCATTTTTCATGCTATAGCGCATAAAAAATGTTTATTTTAATTGAATTCTAGTGATAGTTATGTAACTTAGAATAGAGTATGAATTCTGTTTAGGACTAAAACAGAAAATTAGTTCAAGCAGCACTGGAAAATACATGTATGTTGAAGTGAAATAAATTATTTTTAGACCTCATATAGTGAATCAATATTTAAAATACTCATATAAGAAATCCTATGCTTTCTTTTTTAAAATTTTTTTTTTGAAGAGGTTTTTGCTTTAGGGTGCATGCGCTCACCAGACAGACAGAGAGAGACAGAGAGACAGAAAACAAGAAATCACCCCCCAGCGGGGATGGCCATGCTGCAATCCCTTCTCCTCCATTCTCTTCTTGGGATCTTGGGCATGCATGCTCAGGCGCCCAGCATGAGTTTTAAGCCACTGGGTCCAGGACACAAACTTCAGTCGACTACATGGGAGTCCAGCGACATAGCCATTATGCTAACTGCTGGTCCCCCAAAAATCCTATGCTTTCAAAAGAAAACAAATCAGAGAGATGACATTTGCAGATGACTATGAATATTAAGAAATGCACTAAGCTTTGGTCACTTGTCTGAAATACTAAATTTGTAATGTACACCTCTCAATAACATAATTCAAATCAGTTTATTAGCAAGAGTGCCAAATTACTACAGGTTTTGGACATTTGAAATCACTGAAAGGTTGTCAAAATGGTAACCGCTGGGCTGGAAGGTGGTGTGGTGGTGAGGGTGTTAGACTCCCACATGGCTAACCAATTCAAGTCCCAGACCTGGCAGCTTTCTTCACTTTCACTTTCTTTTTCTTGCTGGTCAAATTTTTAAAAATAAGAATAATAAATGAAATTAAATAAGTCTCTTAAAAAGAAAAATAAATGATAACTACTAGATGTACAAATTCCTGTCTTTAAGAGAGAAATATGTTCTCAATAACTTGATTCTAGGGCTTGTATTCTTTAAGACAGGGAGGATGAATGCCTATATTTTTTGACCAGAGATATAAAATTTGACTGTAGAAAAAATTCTAAAACAAAATGTTTTAGCTTTAAACTCCATCCATCCCCATTTCTTTGTTTTCTCATGTGTTAATTATGCTGCTTTCAAATGGCAGGTTTTCTTTTCGCTAACCCTGTTAACCTGAAGGTGAAGTTCAACCCCATATACTACATGCACTCTTCACAAAGTACTCAGTTATCAGGTTACCTTATCAAATAGTCTCAAATAGTCTTACGCCCATGCCACCTGAGGTCTGAAATCAAAACAACTTAATGGACTTCACTAATACTATGCCTCTTAACATTTTATATGTGTTTATGTTTCAAAATGGAACTGTTTGCTATGCATGTGAATATTCAGAAGGTAGAATTTCAGGGATTATACTAAAATAGCTAACATTCAGAAAATGTGTGTGTGTGTGTGTGTGTGTGTGTGTGTGTGTTTGTGCGTGCACACGTGCACGTTTGTGTCTTTGGTAGGAGTGGGGAGAAGTTCTACTTGCAGTTTGCTTTGAAGAGTTAGGGGCTGTACTAAGTCTTGTCTTTAGTCATTTTTTTCCTGCAAGTACTACCAAATCCAATTTTTCTTTTTTTCCCCTCATTGATTACAATGGTCACTATAGCCAGGAGTAAAACTAAAACATTTACAAATCAGAAATCATTGAAATTATTAGCATCTTTAAATTAATCATTGCTGCAACATGTGTACAAAGTTTGAGATATTTACTTTTTCATGATTTTTCTAGAGTTTTGTTCTTAACAGTTTCATTGTTGACAGGGTCTGGACGGAGATCCTCACCTGGTCAAATAAGTAAAGAATATAAGAAAGGAAAAATGTGGCAAAACATAAGAAAAACTTGCTGCAAGATTGTTGAAAATAGTTGGTTCAAGTGTTTTATTGGCCTTGTCACTCTGCTCAGCACAGGAGCTTTGGTAAGTTAGCAGTCAAGGCGGGGTGATCCTTTTATGAGAGCAAACGTGTCATAACTTTATTAATTCAAAGAATCGCAATGACAGGTTACTTGTTTTAGAGCATTTAGTGTAGCACCAAAATTTATAGTGTGTAATTTTAGTTTTAGAAACGAAATGTTATACTTTCTTAGAAAGTCTGTATATGTATCATTCAATATTTGATTTAATATTGAAATTATATCTAAATATGAACATTAAACAAATATCTTCAAAATTTATGTATGACACTAAGAAAAGGGAATGTGAATTCTGAAATTTTCTGATTTTATAAAATTTTATTCATGAAACAGCTTAATAATTTGTACATCAGTAATATAGCTGTATTGTATTTACACTTTGGTTCTTATTCAATGTGTAAATAGAAGTATTGCATTCACTTTTAAGGGCCTTTGAACTGCAAACCTATTTACCCTTTGACCCAATAATCTTAATTCTGGAAAATTATCCTACAAATATCTGCACATGTATTAAATGCATTTACATGGCTATTCACTATTTTTTTTTTTTTGGTAATAGTAAAGTATTGGGGTTTGGGGAGTCCAAAATAGGTGAGCTTTGAAATCATGCTGTGCAACTATTTCACAAATACAGAAGCTATCTGCATGTGGATATTATGATTCTCTAAGCGGTAATACTAAGTCAAAAAAGAAATATCTACAGTAAAAATAAATAGCATGCACAATTTATTTTGAAAAGGAAGAAAAAGGGAATATATATCGATATTTATTTTCATTTAATTAAAGAAAATAAAAGAACAATACACAAAAAACTAGTTAATTGTCAGATGCCCAGAAAAGAGAAGATGGAGCTATGGTCAGACACGAGAATGTGCTTTATGTGCGTTTTGAAGTAAACTTGATGTTGATCATTAGCACACATACTGAAGGATGTACATATCATGGGAGCACAGCATTAGAAATTGTCACGAAGTGAGTGCAGTTGTATTAACTGTCACTTGGATTGAGAGACAGAAAATTCCTAGGACTCTAGATCCAAACGTAGCTCTCATGGTTACTTCTTCACATGATAGCCAGCATGTGGACATCCACTGCCACAAATTATTTTTACCCATTTTTTAACTTAATGAAAATAGATTCAAACAGAATGTGCTATTATATTTCTACCTCCCATTTTGTTGCAGCATCCTGCTTCCTCGTGATAGGCCAATTTTCTTTGCTAGTTAGATTATTCCTTTCTAATCTTCTGGCACAAGAAGTCTAAAATTGACCAGATGGCATCTTAGCTTTAATTTGAGTAGGAAACAACTACTTCCCTAAGGCCCTAGTCTGGGATCGAAATCTTCTGAACCCACCTACCCTACAGTGCAGGAAATGGGAAGCTCAAATACCCCCAGATGGGCTGTCAGATGCTTTACCCTGCATCTTTCTGCACCGCAGATTCTTCCAGTGTCATGGATCACATGGAAAAGCTGCCTGGAATGTAGCCAGGACTTACTTTAGAATCTTTTCTTATACTACTCCTCCCTACTGAAAAACAGCAGTCTTCTGTATCACCTGATAAACAGGCTGAATCAATAGCACCAACTACTAAATATTGCCTTCAAGCAAGAAGAAGCCTACCAAACATGGCCTTTCCTTTTTAGTGGAAAGAAGTTCATGTGTCTCTCCAAAGCATCCAGAGAATTTATCATTTCATTTTCATCAAATCAGATTAACATAATGTCATTGGTACAATTAACCAATACTATGTTAAATTCTGTCTTGTTGGAGAGTGTCCAAATCAACATTTTTTCCCTTTTATCCATCTTTACATTCTATCTCCTTAACTCTAGCCTGCAATAAACAGAATAAAGGTCCCCAAATATGTCTAAATCATAATCTAAAGAGCCTGTGAATACTAAATTACATAGAAAAGGGTCCTTGCTGATGTGACAAAGTCAAAGATCTTAAGATTATCCTGGTTTATTCAGGTGGGCTGATATAAAATACACTAATCCTTACAAAAGCAATACAGAAGGAGTCACAGGCGAAGATGATGTGAAGATAGAAGCAAAGATTGGAGTGATGTGCTTCGAAGATGGAGGAAGGTGTCACACACCCAGGAATATAGGCAGAGCTACATGTTGAAAAAGAACAGAAATGGATCCTCTCCTTTGAGCTTCCAAAGGGAACCACTTCTCTTGACACCTCGACTTTGTGCTAATGAAACTAATCTAAGATCTCTGGCTTCAAGAATTCTGGGGTCAGCAGGTGGTGTGGTGGCTAAGGCACTGGATTCCCACATGGCCAACCACAGTTTGAGTCCTTGACCCAGCAGCTTCATAAATCATACCAGCAACAGGTACATATGTGCTCAAAATCCCAACAGAAGAATGGAGGATAAAGGATGGTGGTGTGGACAAATTTTTTTTAGACATCAGCAAAGCTTCTGGCCCAGATCTAGTTTCCTTAGTGTTCATATTGGCATTATATTTAGTTTATAACTTTGAAGACTCTGCCTTGGGAAGAGAGCTTTATGATTTCTTATCACTAAGTACATGTGTGTATGTGCCCTAAATCCCAAGAGCAGAATGGAGAAGAAATTGCAGTGTGACTATCCTCCAAGAGGGATGCTTTCTCATTTTTACTCTTTCTCTTACAGACATTCCTCACAGAACCCTCAGGCAAATTAAAAAATAAAAATGGTCTGGGAGCAGTTAATGATGGGTGCTGTAGGCATGGGGTCAGAAAATGGTATTTACGGATTATGACAATAAATAAAAATGAAATGAACAAACCTTTGGGACTGTAACCTATGACACTGCTCACTGTCAGCTTATAGGTTTTATTCCTTTCTATGCCAAAAAAGGTTTTAGAATGTACAGTAATTTTTAATTTCTTTTACCCACAGGCTTTTGAAGATATATATATTGACCAGAGAAAGACTATTAAAATCTTATTAGAGTATGCTGACATGATCTTCACTTACATCTTCATTCTGGAAATGCTTCTAAAGTGGATGGCATATGGTTTTAAAGCCTATTTTACTAATGGCTGGTACAGGCTGGACTTCATGGTTGTGATTGTATGTATTTTAAAGAAAAATTATAAAGGCTATTTGATATACCCTTTTAAAAATATATAGCTCACTTTATTTCAATTTCTTTTATACATTCAATCACGTACATCACTTACCTTGTAAAGTGAATGTTCCAACATAAAAACATTTTTCCCCAGTGCAGTTGGGGATACTATAATCTTTCTACTACTTTTCTATTCATTTACATCTTCCTTTTTCCTTTCTATACATTTTGAGCCACCAATTTATCTTTCTTCATTTGTGATGTTTAACATCTATCTTTCTCTTCTCTTACTAATATTTTAAAAGTTCACCTGGATTATTGTAATGGTCACCTTACGAATTCAGAGTAAGTTTGTTGCATAATGTTTGAAAATATCAGCAGCCTGAAATCTTTAAATTCTCCTGTTTAAACTTTTTAAAAATATCTGTGTACATGTCTTTTTAAATTAATTTTTTATTTGACTTTTAGATCATATCCCCACAATTAGACTACTTACACATTCTTCACTAGTATGCTGATCCAAGCTACCATTTGGATCACTGCGGTATATTTCACATTGGTATCTCTGCTCCTACTGCTGCCCACCTGTTCTATTATCACACAGCACCTGGAGTGACTGTTGTAAAGCAGAAGTTTGCTCATGTCACTTCTCTTGAAACCCTCTAGCAAATATTCCAACTTCCTCAGAGTCAAAGCTATAGCCTTTTCAGTGAAAGATCTGTAAGTCTCCATGATTCAGTCTTGTCTCCTCCTTTCCCTCATGTGGGTCTGTATGCTGATCTGCCAGCTCTGGCCTCCTTGAAGCTCATCACATATGCCCAGGTTACCTCCATCTTACTGTCTTTTTACTCAATCTTCCTTCCACTTGAAACTGTTACAGACATTTATGTTTGACTTAAATATAAGCTTTGATGATAAGTTTTTCCTTACACAAAACTGCAACCACTCCAGAACTCCTTTTCCCTTTTCTGCTTATTTCCTCCTCTCCATAGCACCTATTAACATCATATATTCAGTTATACCATTTATTGTTCATCTTATCCCATTAATGGATAAAATTGTATTATGGCAAAATTCTTTCTTTGTTTATTTTCTCCTTTTTTTTTTTTTTAAGAGGTTTTTGCTATAGGGCACGTGCGCTCGCCAGACAGACAGAAAGAGACAGAGAGACAGAAAGCGAGAAATCACCCCCAGGGGGGATGGCCATGCCACAATCCCTTCTCCTCCATTCTCCTCTCGGGATCTTGGGCACGCAGGTACAAGCGCCTGGCATGAGTTTTAAGCCACCGGGTCTGGGACGCGAACCAGAGTCGACTACGTGGGAGTCCAGCGACATAGCCATTACGCTAACTGCTGGTCCCTATTTTCTCCTTCTTTATCCTCTGACCATAGAACAATTCCTGTCACACAGTAGGTGGTCAGTAATTTTTGTTAAATGTATAGATGACACTCTCTCCTATAAACAATTACGGAAGCTCTTCAATCTCATAAATTATGTAAAAGAACTGCCCTTTTCTTCTGACTTTATTCTTACAAGTTAACATTTTACTCCAGTCAAACGGCACTGTACCTGTAACTTGCCTTCCTGACTCCTAGACATTGTTCTTTCTTTTCTTTCTTTTTTTTTAGAGAGAGAGATTTTTGCTCTAAAGTGTGTGCTCTTGCTAGAGAGACAGAGAGACAGAAAGTGAGAAATCACCCCACTAGAGGGGATGGCCACTAATTATAGGTCGGCTACTTTGCTCATTCTGTTAATGGCTTTGACCTGGAATTATTTTTCTGCATGTATATTTACTTTAAGAAACCATGTCATTGGCCAGCAAGTGGTGTGGTAGTTAGTCCACTGGACTCTCACCCAGTCAACCATGGCTCAAGTCCTGCACCTGATGGCTTGAAAATCACACTATCACCTGTACATGCATGTTCAAAATCCCAGGAAAATGGCAGATAAGAGATTGTGGCATGGCCATCTCCACTGGAGAGTAATTTGTCACTTTCCCTCTCATGTCTATGTCTTTCTGGAGACCTCACATGCCCTATGGCAAAATCCTTAAAAAAGAAAAAAAAAAAAAAAGAAAAAGAAATTGCCTTAGTATCTGGTTATACTTTTACATAGTTTGTGCCCTCAACTTGACAATATTCAGATCATTTTTGATGCTTGACCTCCAAAATTGTTTTTGTGAATTGTCTCATAGTTGTATATGAATGCATGCATACATATACTCCAAATTTTGTTTCAATGAATACATTTCATAGTATTATTGTATTTCAAATTATTATATTTCAAACAATAAAGGATATAAATATTAATCCTTGATAATAAAGAATGCAACATATGCTCATTTTCTCTTTATCTGAATAACATTCTTATTGTCAGAAAATATTTTATTTTCTAATTTTTAACTGATTTTTAACAAGAATATTTTCTTCTTATGACTTTCTATAAGTAGTTAATGATATTTTGAAATATATATAAAAGAATATTTCACAGGTTTATTGGTAGGATTTAGTTTTGTATCTTTTTGTAATAAATGTAACGTTTATCTACATGTTCTTTCTATTAAAATAATCTTATTCGCGCTTTTATAATCTATAGGTGTTTTGTCTCAGCTTAATTGGCAACTCTCGGGAAGAGTTCAAACCACTTATTTCCATTAAATTCCTTCGGGCACTCAGAGTTCTATCTCAATTTGAAAGGATGAAGGTAAGAAAAAAAGTTACTAAGCTAATTGATAAGTTTTTATTTGGCATTACTAAATTTTCACAAACTAATAATCTTTGTTGTCTTCTCATTTGTATCTTTAACATTATTTATACAACAAAAATGTTATATTCTACTGATTAGTGATAGAGAGGAATAGATACATGATTAGTGACTGTTAAGATTTTTAAGTCCTTGGACAAACAAATGGTATAATGGTTATATCACTGGACTCCTACATGATTGACCACCATTTGAGTCCCAAACTCAGAGGCTTGAAACTCACTCTGGGCACATGTGCATGCATGCCCAAAACACGAGAGAAGGGATTCTGGAGAGGCCATCCCTTCTTGAAAGGGATTTCTCACTTTCTATCCATCTCTCTCTGTCTCTCTGGCAAGTGCACATGTCCTATAGCAATTATCTCTAGAAAAAAAAAGAGAGAGATTTTAAGTCCTTATTGTTCATAAAAGATGAAAACTAATATAGGTAAGCAAAAATAAATTGTTAAGAGAGTAAAAATAGTTTCAAATATAATATCATTCTAATTTACATTAGGTATATATGAATACTAGTGAAGTTATCACAATTTTAAAAATATAACCGTCAGAAAATGAAACTTTAATCAGTTAACTATTTAATTAAAAGAATATTATACATGGACCAGCAGATGGCATAGCGGTTATGTCGCTGGACTCTGACAAAGTCAACCACAATTTGAGTCCTGAACCAGGCCACTTAAAACTCACATTGTGCACATGTGCGTCCATGCCCAAAATCCCGAGAGGAGAATGGAGAAGAAGGGATTGCAGCATGGTCATCCCCCCTGGGGGGGGTTGATTTCTCACTTTCTGTCTCTGTCTCTCTGATGAGTGCATGCACCCTATAGCAAAATAATAATAATAATAACTATTATTATTATTGTATCTACTAAGTACTTATTTACTAAATTAAACAAAAAACCTGAATTTCAAAACAAATTTATTTTACATCATGTATCACTAACTATGAATTCTTACCTATCATCTCTCACTCCCATGTTAAACCTTCTTTAGGCCACTGTAAAAAAGCAAATAAATAAACAAACTAATTATTTTAACCTTATAAAATGATAAATGTTCAGTGTTTTATATTTATGATAGGAATTCCATATGGCTTAACCTAATAAAAAAAAAATGAAACCTTCATGCCACCATAAGCACTATGTTGATATACAGTAATAAATTATATGCAGAAATAGCAGAAAAAGTCCACTTGTATCTTTTATTTTATAGTCATACATATGTGTATTTTTGCATCTCTAATTTACATAAATTATTTAATGTTAGTCTACCTATTTTTTTAAATATTATTGGATTGTCAGGAATCAATATTACCTAATCTGTAATATAACATATTCAATGTTTTGATATAGTATGATAAGAAAATAATGTATAGTTAATTTGTATTATCTCTGTAGTTTGTATGTTACTTTTTTTTTTTTTTTTTTAGGTTTTTGACATAGGGTATGTGTGCTCACCTGAGAAAGACAGAGAGAGACCGAAAGGAAGGAAAAATGAGAAATCACTGCCTAGTGGGGATGGCAGTGCTGCAATCCCTTCTCCCCATTCTTCTTTTGGGATTTGGCATGCATGCACATGCATAGACATGATTTTCAAGGCTCTGTGTTTGGGACTTGAATTGCTGTTGGCCATGTTGTAATTCAGTACCTTAACCACAAAGTCACATGCTATCCCCACATGTAACTGTCATCCATTTGAACCATAGCACCTAAATTCTTTCCACTTGGGAAAAATTGGATATTTGTTTTTATCTCAAACTTTGAATTATTGTTATAAATCTTTAAATTTTTATTAGTAATTTAATATAAGCATTTTACGAAATAAATCATTTTGGAAATGTTAACAGTACCCTCTTTAGAGCATATGTGCATACATATGTATAGATAATAAGTACATTCATGATTTATAATAATATTTTTGTATATTATTTGGTTGAGGGAGGAAATTTTACAATGGTAGAGAAGAGAATCTGCGGTGTCTAAACAAAGATGAGAAAAATAAGATTGAAGAGGGGAATCAAAAGTATAAATTCTAAGAGATAGTAAAGAAATAACAGAGGGCCAGCTTGGTCATGCTGCAGTGACACACTGCTCCAGAATTGCTAGATCTGTACAGAGCACAGTGGGTTCAGTTCTCTGGTCAACCTGTACATACCCATGGTCCTGGCTAGCTGTGAAGGCTGAGGGAAGATTGCAGTGTGAAATCCTCTGAGGATACCTGTCTCTCTGTCTCTTTCCTTGTCTCTCTCTTTCTCTCATAAAAGAAATAAATAAACTTAAAAAAATGAAAGATGCAGACCTCAGACATTCTCTAGTGGATGTAACAGCTGGCTTAACATTTGCCATAACAGCTTCAGTGGAATGATAAGAATAAAATTCTGATTTTAATATTAAAGAGTAAAGGATGCTGAGGAATTGAAGGCAGTGATTATAGACATTTAAAGTTAGGTGGTTCATTAATCTCCTAAACTTCGTATTCGGGAGTAGCATGGGCCTGTTCAGTGAGGAGGTTTGAGGCTTTCTGAGGTACAGGTGTGCCCATTCAGTGTTTCCTGAGTCTCTTCTCGTGGCTCCATTGATACTACAGACTCTTGACCTTCTTACATTCCCTTCCACTTCACTGCCTCCTTAGCAGGCTCATCCACCTATGATAAGAATCCTCAAGATAGTTCTAGACCCATTCTCTCTAATTTTGTATTCTCTCTGGAAAACTTTATAGATACATGCAGGTTCAAATATTATGACCATTTCTGCCACAATGTAGAAAATTAATAAATGTGTTAAGTCAGTGAAATAATCATTTATCCTAGTATTTGTACTAATCATCTCCATGGCCTTTTAGTGATTTTTAGAACAAAATTTTGATAGTATCCAGATTTTCAATATGTTTACATTGAAATTGTTATTTATTTATTTGTTTGTTTGTTTTGGAGAGGTTTTTGCTATAGGGTGAATGTGCTTGCCAGGAAGACAGAGAGAGACAGAGACACAGAAAATGAAAAATCACACACTCCCCCGCCAGGGAGGATGGCCACGCTGCAATCCCTTCTCCGCCATTCTCCTCTCAGAATCTTGGGCACACATGCACATGCGCCTGGCATGAGTTTAAACCACCGAGTCTGGGACTCAAACCATGGTCGACTACATGGGAGTCTAGCGACATAGCCATTATGCCAACTGCTGGCCCAGTTATTGAAGTTATTCTAATACTAGTGTGTAAACTATTAAATCTTAAAGTTTTTTTTCCAGTATGATATTATATTAATCAACATTTTCAATTTTTGAGAAATTAAGAGCTTCACGGTTTTTTTTAATCAAAGTTTACATGTTCTTTTGTAATTTCTTTTTTAAATGTCCAGGTGGTTGTGAAAGCTTTGATAAAAACAACTGCACCTGCTCTGAGTGTGTTTCTGGTCTGCCTCATGATTTGGCTGATTTTTAGTATCATAGGAGTACACTTATTTGCTGGCACATTCTATGACTGCATTGACCCAACGAGTGGAGAAAGGTTTCCTGTATCTGAAGTCATGAATAAGAATCAGTGTGAAAGCCTTCTGTTTAATGAATCTATGCCGTGGGAGAATGCAAAACTGAACTTTGATAATGTTGGAAATGGTTTCCTTTCTCTGCTTCAAGTAGTAAGTACACTTCTGACTTTTCACCATATTGTAGGTTGAACATACTTTACATAACGCACAGAACATAATAAACACAATGCAGATGATTAATACATACGGTTATAAAATATTTTAGAAACTATTAGTAGATAAATGTTATGAAACATAATATCCCAGGTTCATTTACAGACGCAAAAGTAAAATACGGTCCCTGCCCTAATGGGAGGTGAAAATAGAGATGACATAAGACATGAAGGGTGTTGGTTAAATCTATGTATCATCACTGATCAGATAGTAGGGTCACATCTTTGGTCCAATTCGGGTTACTGCTTTTATTTTTTGTTATTTTTTTCAATTTATCTCTTTGAGGAATCACTACTCAGTGACCCATTATCTAGCAGATGTGAAGAACCGGAACATTCCTTCTTTGTCTCTCCCACAGAAAAGCAATTGTATAATAAATTTAAGTAACTGTAATACTTAGCAGCACATATTTATTTACCATTTATCTATCTATTTCTCTCTCTTTTCATTTAAAGTATTTTAAAATATTTTGTTAGACAAAAATAAGCTAAATAAAATACTTAACAGAATAATAATGAAAATTTTGAAGATTTCAGTTACACAGGATATTGAAAAAAGTTGTAGTGTATCAGTAACAGCTTGAGTTTTACTTTTTATTTGTCATGAAATGTAGATTTCCTTAAGAAATAAATATATGTTTTTATTTTACAGGCAACATTCAATGGATGGATCACTATTATGAATTCAGCAATTGATTCTGTTGGTGTAAGTGCAATATATTCTTTTTTAATTTTGAGAAAGTTTTTTACTTTCTCACATATGCTTGCCAGAGGGACAGAGAGACGGAAAGCATGAAATTATCCCCTGGGAGAATGGTCAAGTCACAATCCCTGCTCCTCTATTCTCTTTTCAGGATCTGCATGAATTTTAAGCTGCTGGGTCAGGGACTTGAACTGCGGTTGACTATGCAGGAGTCCAGTGATGTAAACATTATACCATCTGCTGGTCCCAGTGCAATATAATCTTAAAGTCATGTTTATGGTTCAAGCAGAATTCATTTTTGCAATTTAAGCACAGTATATTAGCAATAATTAATGGAAATCAAATACATTTCAGACTGGGTATTTCATGGGCAATGAAATCCAGCTAGGTTTATGTACAAGTGAAGTCCAAAAGGCTGAAGAATTACCAGACCTTGTACAAATGATTAAACCAATAAATAAAATTCAAGTAAAGAAAGCACTGATGGAGCCAGCAAGTGGCATGGTGATTAAGGCCGCCAGACTCCCACGTGGCTGACCGTGGTTTGAATCCTGGACTTGGTTTGAGTCCTTGGCTTCCTTTTTCACTCCCCCACCCCTCTCGCTCTCTGCTCAAATGAAAATTTGTAAATAAATAAATAAAAGTTAAATAAAAGAAGTTTTATAAAGTACTGGTACACTTTTGTCAAAAATCAAAGAAAACATTATCTCAAGTAATGTTGGATTTTCTTGTCATAAATTGTTTTATAGCTATTATGTTTTTAAAAAGTCAGTATTCATATTTTCTTTATTTTTAACTTAACTTTTAGGTAAACATGCAGCCTAATTTTGAAAACAACATCTATATGTATTGTTACTTTGTCACCTTCATTGTCTTTGGATTATTTCTGCCTCTGAGTATGCTGATCAGTGTCATTATTGCTAATTTCAACAAGCATAAAATAAAGATAAGTATAGCCATTATTTGTTCATCAATACCTGGGAAAGATCAAACACATTTATAAAATATTTGACTTGAAATAAGTAGTTTTTGATTCAGGTTCATCTCATTTTTATTAATAAATTTCTAATAAGCATAAGTATCATTGTCCCAAGCCATTGATTAACATTGCTAAAATGTTCATCCTTACATAGCTTTCAATATTTAAAATGCAAACAGACAAGATTAAAATTTAAAGATGGTTCCTGTATGTATGCTTTACAATCATAAGTAATATGATTGCATGTCTGTATAAATATACAAAAATACATGAAGTCAAAGCCTTTTCAAGAAAAACATATTATTTTATTCTCTGATATATTCAGAGCCTTCAGAATCATAACCAGCATGAACTTTTTTTTCTTTAAGGCATTTGCCATAAAGGTACATGCACTCACTGGAGATACAGAGAGAGGCAGTGAGAGGGAAAGTGAGAAATTACCCTCTTCCCCATAGGGGTTGGCCTCACTGCAATCACGTCTCCTCCATTCTTCTCTTGGGATTTTGGGTATGCACACATATGCACCCAGAGTGAGCTTTGAGCTGCCAGGTCCCAGATTCAACCTGCAATCAGCCATGTGGGAGTACAACGCCTTAACTACTGTGCCACCTGCTGGCCTCTGGACATCTTTTTAATAATCATGATGACACAGTATGATAAACAGAGTCTGCAAACAGATACTGCTCTTTATTGAACTGATTTCTTTTATGTTATGCTATGTAATACCAAATGTGTCCTGAAACTAACCTCTTTTCAAGAAAAAGAATATTATTTTATTTGCTGATATATTCAGAGATTTTTAGAGTTGTAACTAGTGTGGACATTTTTTTAAGTTAGAGTAGCTCCTCTGTTAAAACAGAGAGATCATAAATTTTAACCGACTGACCTACATAGGAGTGCTTGGACCTAATAATAGAGAAATCTGAAATAGAATTGAACAATCACTATTTTGTGCCTTTTTGATACAAAGACTCCCTCAGGCACTTTCGCAAATGCAAGTCTCAAAAGACATGTAAGTCCACTTATTTTAATCATAGGGACCTACTCTATAAGGAAAAAGCCAAGTTTTTCCAAAAATATCAAAGGAAAGAATAGTTTAATTTTGAAATTCCATCTGTATTCCCATCATCAAATTTTATCTGTACACCAAATCTGGTAAAACATTCTGTCTCCACTAATCAGATAGGACTAGAGAACTCAATATTCAGATATGGTTTTGATTAGAAGCTTGAGCTTCCTGAGGATTTCAACCAATCGGATAACATCTTATGATTTGCTTCTGGGCTTGAAATTGATAACTTCTGGGGACCAGCAGTTGGCATAATGGCTATGTCACTGGACTTCCATGTAGTCAATCACCGTTCAAGTTCCAGACCCAGTAGCTTAAACTCACACCGGGCACGTGTTTATCTGTGTGTGTGTGTGGATGTGTGTGTGTGTGTGTGTGTGTGTGTGCGCCCAGGAATGAGGAATTGTTACTGCCTTAAATGAAACTTGGTTACTTAAAATTGACAGAAGTTATCAATTTCTCGATTTCCTTCTTCTTTTTCTTCACATTGTATATTTTGTATAAAATATCAAAATTAGTTCTAGAAATAAGAAAATGTATAAACCCTGGAAGATGCTATTAGAAGATAGCACAAGGTACTTTTGGAATATTATTAATAATAAGAAATCTCTGCTGATAGTACTTGAAAAGTAAAGCTGCACAACACTCACATAACCAATTCTATTCGTTCTTGCTTATAAAATGGCACAAATCAACATTATTTTTAGCTATTGAGTGCACTTATTTTAGTAAGCCTTATAGATATCCCCCACTGTTTCTTCTTTGTTTCTTTCTAATAAGAGGGAGGCTCACTAAACAAAAAAGTAAAAACACATTTAACTACCACAAAAAAGTACATGAAAGGATTAATAAATATCAGCCCATTGGCAGCATGTATTCTGTGTTTTATAGGGATTTCTGTGCAGAAAGTCAGAAATATTCAACTATGATTTAGTTCACTGCAGTTAAGATTTTGTGAAAGACTTAAATCAATAATTACTATGTTTTGTAAAATGCATGTTGATATAAGGAAAAATTTGATGAAATGTAATTCTTTCGGGTTTAGGTGCCAGTCATGATCCATCTTTGCAAAGAAAAATATGTCATTACTTTCCTGACAACCTAATAATATCTTTTTCTTTCATTTCTTTACCAAGGAGGCCCAAATATCTTTGTAACAGCAAACCAGAAGAAACAGTACCGTGGGCTGAAGAAACTGGTGTATGAGGATTCTCAAAAACCAATACCTCGCCCTAGAGTAAGAAAATGTCTACCTATCTTTGAAGCCTCAAGAAAAGTTTCATTTTTACAATCTCTTTTTTTAAAAAATTAAAGCATGTTTTTTTAGAATCTTAGCAAATGCTTTTGACAAAATTTATAAAACATATACCTTAAAATATTAAGTTGTTGGGAAAGTCATGACATTTTTTCTATGCAAAAAAGTGTCATGGTGTTCCCAAAAACCCAATATATTTTAAATTTTATTTTGTTTATTTTGACTACATGCTATTGTTGGTAAAACTTAGGCCCTTACATATTCTCCTGTAAAATCTTAAAATTATGTGTATGTGTTTGTGTGTATGTGTGTGTATTTCCTATTAATGAAACTATTTTACCTGTTTTCTTTACCCACAGAACAAATTCCAAGGATTAATCTTTGATGTGGTCACACATCAGGTTTTTAATGCTGTCATCGTGGTTCTTACCTGTCTCCAAGCCCTTTCCATTATGATACAGTATGATGAACAGAGTCCACGAATGGACACTGCTGTCTTCTGGATTGACTGCATTTTTGTTATGCTGTACACTGTGGAATGTGTCCTGAAGCTGATCTCCTTTCATTGTTATTATTTCACCATTGGATGGAACATTTTTGATTTTATGGTAGTCATTTTCTCCATTACAGGTAATATTTTTGTTTAATCATATTTTCATTCATGGTAATATTAATTAAAACAACTCTTACAGGAAATGACTCTTGAGATATAGTCTGTTAATAAGCAAAACAGTTAAGAGCCATTTT